ATCTCCCCCTCTCTATCACTCCCCCACTCCCCCTCCCCTTTCTACCAAAGGCATGTTTATACATTTAAGTAACTAAATCATTCTAAGGCTATAAATCTAGTTTGTTAGTAACTTCTCTCTAAACAGTTATTTGGTCCTGTTTACCCTTAGTTTATTACCCCTTCCCCAGCTCGAAACATGCAAACCTCATCATTATTGTTTGGTACCTGAAATGAGCAAGGTTGTAATTGCTAACTAGCTATTTACACATTCCAATACCTGTCCTTGGTTGTTAAGGTCGATCAGAGTAAAACATGGAAGAACAGAGTTTAAACATGGAAGAACTCTAGCTCAGGCAGGCATAGTAACCCCAACAAGGGTGCTGGCTTTAACTACTCCCTGCCAGTGTCACTGGGGGAGATTCTGGTCTTGCAATCAGTTCCCCGCCCCAAGCTCAGCCACCCCATTTTCACTGCCCCCGGGAGGCAGGGAAACCAGGGCACAGAGAAGGGACAGCTTAGTGCTGCTGGTATTTTCCCTGCCCCCCTCAAACCTTTCCTAGCTTCTCCCATTGATAACAGTCCATCCCCCCATTTCCCTTTCCTCTGTTTTCCTCCCCCCTCTCTGCTCCCCAGACTCCCCCTTTCCCAGGTTCCAAGCCCAGCACCCATCAGCCATGATCCAGCTCCGGGTGACCCCTGAGTCGTCGCTGGCCGACATGCCGGTGAGGATCCACGTCTCCGGCCTAGCGCCCACCCAGCTGGTGACCCTACAGTTGTCGCTGACGGACGAGAGGGGGGTGCACTTCCAGGCCCGAGCCTTCTACCGGGCAGATGAGGCTGGGGAGGTGGACGTGGAGCAGGCGGCTGCCACGGGGGGCGACTACGTGGGTGTCTGGCCCATGGGCCTCTTCTGGTTCCTCAAGCCGGAGAAGCTCTTCCACAGGCTGATGAAACGGGATGTGATGAGCAGCCCCTTTTGCTTCCAACTCGACCTCTTTGACTCCTGCCAGCTTCTTCCCTCACCTCAGGTGGTGCCCCTGGCCACTTGCACCGTGGAGAGGTGGTACGTGGGCCCCGGAGTGGAGCGTGTCCCGATCAAGGAGGGCCGGATCCGAGGGGCCCTATTCCTGCCCCCTGGTGAGGAAACTGGCTCATCGCATCCCTGCCTCTTGCATCCCTTATCCCTGTTCTCCCTTCCCAGCCCAGCCTGGTGTCCCTTTCCCACCTCTCTCTGGTGCTTGTCTTGCCCTGTTTGCCATGCACAAGATCCTCTTGTACCCCTCACCCCTAGGGTCAGTCTCCCTGCAATAGGGCATGACCATCAGGTAAGCTCATTGCAGACTCTGTCCTCCTCCCCGGTGTCCCAACAGGGCCAACAGCTTGTCCCCCTTTCCTCTGTCACAGCACCCCCTGCTGGAGAGGGCGGGGTGGGACAGCTGCAGGCTCCCTCCCCTCCATGGTGTCACAGAAATGCCACCCACTGACACATCAACATTTGTATTCAGCATAAAGCCAGACTCTCCCTGTTCTCTTCCTAAATCACCCTGATTCCCTGCCATAGTGAATAACAAGCCCTTCCTGGTTGCTGAAGCAGATGTCTGGGGTCCCACTGCAACAAGCTCATCTGGAGGCCGTCCATTCCGCAGGCCTGGTTGGGGGAGTATCTCGTTGCTTTTAGCTCAGCTAGTTTGGCTGCACAGCCCTGCAGCGATCACAGGCTGTTGGTTTCCCTGGACCAAAGATTGGGTTTAGGTGGAGCTTATAAATGCATTTAGCTTTTTATCGGTAAACATCAGTAAACATTGATTTCACCAGACACATACAAACTGACAGAAAATTATTTCCATCGATAATAATCCAAGTTTGCTGATAAACAAAGTAAGACAAATGCTGGCTGAGAACAGTAGAGTTTGATTAAAGGATAGCGACTGTATAGTCTGATGTCATGTTGATAGTTTGTATTTTAACGGTTGTAAAGTTTTAACTTTTTAAATCTCAATATCTGCTGCCGTTAAATAATTATTGTCTGACCCCTCTCCCCATAATTTTCCAGAACAGTGAACATTTTGATCGATAAAATTTTTTAAACATGCTTGAAATCCATAATTTTTGCACAACTGTGAAAATTTAAATCAATAAAAATAGAAAAAATGCTTAAAAATAAACATCAATATTACCCTGTTTCCCCGAAAATAAGACATCCTCCTATATTAATTTTTGCTCCCAAAG